TAGGTACTTAGCTTAATACAGAGACCCTGAGTTAATATCCAGTACTATTAAGTAGCTACCTAAATAAATAACTCAAACACGCTAGAGAAAAATATATAATGCTAAAGAAAAATTATCTACAAAGAAAGCCAGTAAGAGAGGGAAAAGGGGAAAATTTATACAAAACAACCAAAAACCAAAAGTAACACAATGACATAAGAAGTGGTTTTCTGTTAATGCTTCAACTTAATGCAAGTGGGTTAAAATTTCTAAATAAAAGCCATCCAAGAATTTTCAAAAAAAAACATCAACTATATTCTGCCTAATAAGAGACTCATCTCACCTAAGACAAACAGAATGAAAATGAAGGGATGGGGAAAGATGTTCCCTGAAAACAAACTAAAAGAGTAAAAGTAGCTGTCTTTACACAAGACAAACTAGACCTTAATGCAAAAGCTGCAAAAGAAGGCGAAGAATGTTTTCTAATAATAAGCAGTCAGTTCACTAAGAGGGTATAATGATTATGAATATATATACCCTGAATGCCTCACATGAAATACAAAGCAAATATTAACAGACCTAACAGATTGCAATACGTAACATTAGAAACAGCAGCACTTATACTTCAGGTTGTCTAGACAGAAAATCAATAGAGAGATTGAAATTGCATGGTAGACCAAGAGGATCCAACAAATATTTACCAAAGACTCCACCCAACAGCTGCAGAATGCACATGCTTAACAGCACATAGAGCATTGCCCCAGATAGATCATATGCTAGGTCACAAATGAGTCTTACAAGTTTAAGATTTAAATTATTTCAAGTATCCCTTCTGACCACAATGGCGTGTAAGTAGGAATCAACAACCAGAAGAAGTTCAGACTTTACATCTATCAGCACGCTCCTGATTACCCAATGTGTCAATCAAGACACTGAAAGGGAAATTTAAAAATTTTGAAACTCAGGCCAGGTGAGGGGGCTCCTTCCTGTGAGGGGTGGGGCTGAGGCAGGGACAGCTGCCAGCCTGGGTTATACAGTGGGTTTGAGGCTGACTTGGAACATCAAAAGACCCAAATTCTTCTGATCAAGGCAACTTCCCCAAGAAAAACATGTCAATCAGCTTTCTTGTTGCTATAACACACTCACAGCTTAGTGGGAAAGGGTTTGTTTGGCGCACAGTTTCAGAGGATTCAGTCTAGTCAGCTGGCTTTAAGGCAGGAACATCACACTGGAAGAGTATGGTGGACCATAACTACTTAGTTTATGGAGGCCAGCAAGCAGCACAGGGGAACAGTGCCAGAGAGGAAGGAGGCAGGGATGAGATATAAACCTCCAAGGTCACACCTCCATGACCTACGCAGACACCCCTAGAAATGTACTCTCATAATCCCCCATGTGTCTTCCAAGTCATTCAGATTGAAAATGAAGCTCAAATCCAGGTGTGGTGATGCATGCCTGTCATCCCAGCTCAGGAGGCTGAGGCATGAAGATCGTTGCAAGTTTGAGACCAGCCTGGACAACAAAGCAAGTTCAAATCCAGCCTCAACTGCATAGTGAGACCCTGTCTCAAAAAGAATAAAAAAGAAAAAAGAAAGAAAGGAAAGCTTAAACATCACAAAACAAAAACACAATTGTGAGACTCAAATGAAAACTAGTGCAAAACATTCCCATATCTATGGGGAACTACAAAAATAATTCTAAGAGGAAAACTTATAGCAACATAATAAAAGAAGAAAGATCGTATATAATCAACTTAATGTCACACCTAAAGAAACTTTATAAAAATAACAAACCAGACCTAAAATAGTAGAAGGAAGGAAAAATGAATATCAGAGAAGAAAGACATGAACTAGAATCTAAAAAGATCAATGAAAGAGTTGTTTAAAAGATAAAACTGGAAAATCTTTAATCAGATAAGAAGAAAAGAGGAAGAATGAAAATCAGCAATGAAAAAGAATATATTAAAATAGATACCATGAAACATAAAGGGTAATAAATTGACTTTTTGGAGAACAGGCAAGTTCAAGGCCAGTCTGAGCTACATAGTGAGCTCTTGTCTCAAAAACAGCAACATCAAAATATAAAACCAAAACAAACAAAAAACAAAGAGACATTGTACATCTACACCATGGAGAACTATTCAACTACAAAAAAAATGTTTTAAAGATGTGTTACTGTCATTTGTGACAACACACACAAACCTGAAGGACATTATACTAAGGGAAATAAGAAGGGCACAGAAAGACAAATACAACATCTTGCTCCTGTGTATACCTAATGGCCTCATGGATGTTGGCAGTGTAACAGTGATTACCAGAGGCTGAGGAGGATAAGGAGAGGAAGGTACGGAGACAGTGTCTTAGTTAATTTCTCCATGCTAGGACAAAATTCCCAACACCCACAAGTTGAAGGAGGAGAGGTTTGTCTTGACTCATAGTCTGTAGGGATTTCAGTGCCTAGTTGCCTGGCTTCAAGGCAGCGCAGCATGGCGGAGAGGCGTGGGGGAAGAGAACAGTCCATGGCAGGGAAGCAGGAAGCGGAGAAGGACCAAGGGAGGCCTTCCAGGCCATGCCCTAGTGAGCCACCGCTTCTAACCAGGCTTCACCTCCCCAGAGCCTCACCTCTGAGTACATACGGCTTTGGGGGATCATCTGGGTATCAGCATAGCAGATGCTGAACAGGCGCAGTGTTGAGTTAGCACTAGGTTATGTAACTCCGACCTCACAGCCCTGAGATCTGTGTTGTCTGGCCTCAGGGACAGGGAGGTTTACTTGGCTATGGGTGGAATGCTGAAGCAAGCATTCCTGAAGCAAGATAACAGTTGCTGCCGACATTTGTCAAAATCTGGCTCCTCATTAACTTATTCATTGTCTACCCATTCTCTACAGGTGCTGTTCCATGAAATGCATGCTCCCCTCCTCCCGCTGTGCTTCTTGTTAGTTAAAGTGGGCCAACCTCGGAGGTGGTTGAGCCAGCCAGTCCACTAGAGGCGAGCTCCTCCAGGTGCATTTGTACCCTGAAATCTGCCTCTCTCTTTCTTTATTCCCTGTTGTCCCTGCTACAGGTATCTTTGGTACTTGTATGCTTGTGTGACTACAGTTAGCCATAATGTATATTTCAAAGTAGGAAAGAGTCTGAATGTTCTCACCACAAAGAAGTGACAGATGTGGGTGGAGATGACTGTGCTAATTGCCCTGATTGGCTCATTAGACAATGTAGCCATGTGTAATTGAAACATTTTGTACTCCATAAGTGTCTCAATCGAAATAAAACTTTAAAAAAAAGTGTTTAGAGTGATAAGACATCAGGGCAATGTGTTTCTTAATTAATTTTTTTTCATATTTTCTGAATATTTCACAAGGAGGTATTTTCTGAAGGAGGTATATTTCATATTTTCTGAATATTTCACAAGTGCTTTGTTTTATAGCCAAACAAACCACTGCCTAGAGTTGGTTTCCTGTTTCCTTCTTTCCTTCCACCCTCCCTCCCTTTCTTTCTTTCTGTTGTTTTTCTTTGTGTGTGTGTGTGTGTGTGTGTGTGTGTGTGTGTTACCAGGAATCAAACTCAAGACCTTGCACTTGGCCAGGCAGGTGCTATGCTGCTGAGCTATATTCCGGCCCCTCCCTTCCATTTTAAATGTTATTGTTAATGCTTTTGCAGGGGTTGGGAGTGGGACAGTAGTGGGCTAATGCAGAAAGGAGAGAGGGGAGGAGGGGGCTCAGTTCCACCAGTACTTACCTCACACCTGCTGTGTGCAGGCGCTTGTAGGGTGCTGACTACGACAGCTGGGTGACGTCTCAAGGTGCTGCTGAGCACGGAGAAAGCGAGGGTGTAGCCTGTGGAAAGGCTGCGAGCGTGAACCAGCAGGCACACAGGAAGCAGCGAGCGAGGAGTGGATGTGGTTGGGAGGCAGGTGGGCTAGAAATGACCCCTAGTGACGTCAGCTACGGAGCGTGGATCGCACTCCGATCGAATTTGAGTGACCTGGGCTCTACATCTGGGTTAGTGGTGATCATGGCAACGTCCAGAGGCCAACAGGAAAGGTCTTGGCAGCAGCAGATTTACAGTCTCAGTCTTGGAGAGAAAGGGGAGGAGAGAGCCCTATCCCTGCCTGCCGGGAGGGTTTGCTCAGGAGGAAGGGGCGCAGGAGAGGACCCTAGGACCCAGCACCCAGGAGGGTTAAACTCAGAGGAGTGGGCTGCCGCCCCTCCAGCGGGCTCTGCCTGCTGGGCACACGCAGGCTGCTCTCCGATGTACCGCCGGTTGCTTCCACCTAGCAAAGCCTTGCCCTTGCTCCAGGGCCCAGGGGTCCCTCAGTGACCCCCAGAGCCAGGTTCCAAAATTCACCCTGGCTGAGTCTTGCTCCACCTCCTCAGGGCAGGGCTGGTTAATCTGTGCCCTGACCAAAGCACAGAGACCTTAGAGGTCACTAGATCCAAAGCCTCTAGTTTACAAAAGAGAAAACTGGTCCGCGGAGGGGAGAGTGGCTTGTGGCGGTGACCGCAGATGTGATACGCTGGCAGCCGGAGGGCTGTTGGTTTTCCTGTGTTCGGAGTCTGTGTCCAGCTACAGGAGAAGGAAAGTGAAGCCTAAGCATGAAGCATGAGCTTCCAGTCAATCAGTCTGTCTCTCTCTGTCTCTGTCTGTCTCGGTCTCTGTGTGTGTCTCTCTCTCCAAACTTTCTTTCCTCACTTTTTATTAAGCGTCTACTACGTGCAGGGAGAACTCAGATTTTTCCGATGCGCAGCTGGACTCTAAACCAGGGCATCCAAGAGTTAAATTCGGGGGCACGGCGGGAGTGGGGAGAGGAGATTCCCGGAGGAAACGCGCAGCCCTCAACGCACCCCAGCACTTCTCAGCCTGGGGAACCCTGTGACGCAGACCTAGCCGGGCGCCCCTCCGCCCGGGGAGTGGCCGGGCTCGGATTACAACAAAGGGGGCCGGAGGCCGGGCCTACCGCGGGGGCCGCCCTCGAGGAGGGGGTGGGCGCGGGGAGGGGTTTGCGCCCGGCTGGCTTTAAAAGCGCAAACCCGCGGCTGCAGCGCGCCACTTCCCAAATTTGGGGTTGTCCTGTGGGCTGTGTGTCGGAGAAGTCTGCGTGGCCCCTTGGCTCGGGAAAGGGGCACCGCAGCGACGGGCGCGGAGAGGGGCCACTGCGGGGAGCCCAGTACTAGTCCAGCCACAGCGCACCCCTCGACTAGGTAAGAGGCGCCCCGCGCCGCCCCTCCCACCGCGGGTCGCGGGAAAGCGGGAGCGTCGCCCCGGGACCTCGGCCCTGCTCAGGATGCTGGGGCCCTGGCTGCGGCGCCAGAGCCAGGGCTTCTGCTGGGGCGCTGCGGGGACGCGGGCCGCCCCGCCCAGCCCCGCCCGGCCGGGCCCGGGGAGGCGCCGCCGCGAGGGCGCGGGACCAGCGGAGCCCCGGTGCGCGCGGGGTGCTGGAGGGTGCGGCGCGAGGCCGGGCCAGAGAGCGCTGTGCGGTGGCCGCGGTCTGGCTTTTGAGACGTGCAGCTCCAGGGCGCCGGGATGTGGGCGCGCGGGCCGAGACGCTGCGACCCCCCAGCTCTAGCGCGAGGCCGGGGACCGCGGTTTCTGGTTAGCCTGCTGGAAAGGCTCGGATGGGCGCCGGGGCTCCCCGACCCCGGCGGGAGGAAAGGCGCGACCCGCGCGCCGGGAGTTCCTTGACCCCAAGTTTCTCCTGCTCGTCCGGGCCAGGGTCCGTCCTGTCCTGTGGAAATCGCCCAAGCGGCTCGGAGTGAGAAAGAACACGCGTCGGCGAAGCCAGGGGTCGTGCATTCCAGACAGCTCCGGCTAGAGCGAACTGCGGGCTGGGCGGAGAGTCCCCGGGTCCCGGTTCCTCCGGCTTTTACGCAGGCCCTTCGCCCACTGCGTCTGCTTTCTCCTAAGCTCAGATCTAGGAAGGGCAGCCCGCGGTGTAGCTGGCTGCGCGAGGTGACTGTCGCAGTAGCCAGCGTTGGGATAGAGAGATGGAAGGGGATAAGAGGTTCCTCTCTTTCCATCACTCCCCCACTCCTAATCAGAGGACGCAGGGGGCCCCCTGCGCTGCGATCGGAGCTCGAAGTCTGATAGAGGAGAGATACCACCACAGTCGGAGACCAGCCCCAAATCATTTTTATCTCCTACAGTCCAGGAACTGTGGAAACCTTACACAGTACAGTCCTTAACTTTTCAAAGAGGAGGAAAAGTGAAGCCTAGTCAGTGTGGGGAATCGAACCGCATCCTTTGCTCCAGAGCCCTCCCTTACCCACCACTACCTTGTCCCTCCTGGAGATCCCAAAGCCCATTTGTCGTCTCTGGGGAATCATTTGAGGCCTCTTGTGTGCTAAATGACCAGGGATGAGGCTTAGGGAGAAAGGCAAAGAGTTCATTTCCCAGGTGAGAGCCCACAGGGGCTCCGACTCACTGAACCCCTCCTTGAATACATTTTTTGGTCTTCTTCACCCCTTTGCCCTTTACTCTTCCAGTCCCTCCTCCTGGAGTGATCATCAAACCCATGGCAATGTATGGGGTCAAGACCGATCTGTCCTCTCTCCTCAGCCACTGTGTTTCCTTGTCATCCTGTGACTCTTGAGAAGTGACTGGGTCTACAGTCACTTGGCCATTCAGTAGCAAAGCTGAGTATGAAAGTTAGGTCTGAAGACAGAGCATACAGCTGTGCTACTTGTGGCCTGATGCGTCCCAGACCAGAGATCCTGCGAGGCCAGGACGCTTCCATGTATTATCTCCTTCCCTGCTGGGTGCCTTGCCTGGCCTCTGCTGGCCTTCCTCCCATTCCCTTGCCCTCTGACCTCCGGATGACCAATTTGGCAAGGCCTTGTAAGGGAAGCAGATTTTCTGTGCTCTGGACGTAATGGCCCAGTAAGCTGATTAATGTCCCGGAAAATTGTGCATTGTTTATTTAAATTTTTGATTCTGAAAAATTTCAAATATGCACTAGAGAGAGGGGTATAATGAATTCCCATGTATGTTTCACCAAGCTTCGGCGTTTACTGGCATTTCACCACACTTACATCATCAGGGGCCTTTTCTTTCTGCATTGAAATATTTTAAGAAAAGTCCATGACATCCTGTTATTTCATCGCCACCTCTTTCAATGTGATCGCTGAAGATATATAATTAAATATCTACGAGGCCACTTTACGCCCGAGAAAATGAACAAAAATTCGTCGGTATCTCCTATTACTCAGTCTGTATTAAAAGTTTCTCTCAATCTTCCCCCAAAATGTTCCTTTTATAGTTGACCTGAGTTTTGCAGATTATATTATTCCAGCTATTATTTCTTTCAAACCATTTTGCTACCCATTACAGTATTTGATTTCTACAATGTCTCACCAAACAGTAAGGGGGGTATTGTTAAATTCATTTTATGCTACTGAAACTTGAAAACAGTGTAGTTGTCTGGATGGCACAGGGTGGCATAGTTGGTGGCAGAGGTGGTCCACACCTTTACATACATAGCTGGGCCTCAATGCTTCTGGTATTTGCTACTTCTGGAACGGGGCTCCATTCTTGCTTCTTATACATCTGCTACCAGAAACCCCTGCCATACCATTTAGTAATTAACTGTTTGGCACTTGAGATAATAGAGGTGTCAAGTCAGGAAGCCTGTAGATTTCCTCTCCCAGCTTATTGTAAAACTCTAAGAAAGCAACTTGCTTCCCAAGGGCTGCAGGCTGCACTGTCTCAACGGGGGAATATTATTCTTTTGAGTTCTCTGGTTTCTTCACTTTGAAGTATGATGTCAGAAATGTCTGCAACTGGGATTCCCAGAGAAACAAAGTCCCCAGAAAGAAATTTGGTGGAGTACAAATCACCTCTCTTTGAATATCACCTGCTGTTTTGGCAGCTGGCGTCTCGTGCAGATGCTTCTGACCCCAGTGGCAGGGAAGGAGCAGAGGTACCCATTTCCCTTGAGGTTCGCTGTTATGGACAGCTTTGTGCTGCCTTTGTCTGGTGAGGACCTACCACAGCAGGGCATTTTGCTTTTAACATTGTTATTGTTTATGCTTATTTGCTTTTGCAATAAGGTGAGAAGATATTTTTATGTCTTGTTAGTAAGATTCACGCATTGGACCTCTCCTTCCTTGCCTGGCAGCGTGGGGAAGAGGATCTGTTGCTGGACTCCTAGGTTGTCTGTTGCTCTATTTGCTGCACACGCGTATGTCAGAGAAAGAACAGATTTCTCACGATACAGTCAGGGGCAGATAAATAGGCTGATGCAATTCCATTACCCAGCTGGAGGACCTCAAGAGCAGAACAGTGAGCTTAGTCCACACTGTTTTCTAACACCCATAAATTCTCTTCTGCCTTAGCCAACAGGCTGTCTCCATCAGGGCAGACTTTCTAAGTGGATCCACATCAGCAGCTGCAGTTGCAAAAGCATGATTGCCTCCTTGATTTTACAATTTTGGAAGCCTTGGGAAGTATATTTCCAATTCTTGGCGGCTGCCAGGCTTTAGAACACCAATTTGTGACTACCTTTGTGACCATTTCCTTCTAGAGAGTGCTTTTGAGGTCAGTATGCCTAGCAATCACACACTTTAGGATCTGAAATACTTCACTCCCTGCTCTGCTTGACTTCATTGTTTGTGCTGAGAAGCTGCTGTGATTCTGATAGGTTTTCCTTTATAGGTGATCTGTCTTTTCTCTCTTAACAGTTTTTAATATTCTATTCTTATGTTGGATTTCTGGGATAGTGATTATTATATGTCTGGGTGTGGTCTTATTTTGGATATGGCTATTTGGAGTTCTATATGCTTCACTGATCCTAATGTCAGTTTCCATTCTCATGTTTGGGAAATTTTCAGCTATTACTTCTCTAAATATCCTTTTGACATCCTTTGTGTTGTCCCCTTCTTTTTCATTTACCCCTATCAATATTATGTTGTTTTTCTTTGCATCATTTTGCAGCTGTTGAATTGTTGTTTCCTGATTCCTTGTTATTTTTAAAAGATCTTTCCTTTCCTGTTCACTAGCTGCAATCTGTCTTCAAGGTCTGAAATTCTTTTTTTTTTTTTTTAAATTTTATTTAAGGAGAAAAAGAAAAAAAACAGAAAAAGGGTACAAGTTATACAGAATTTCAGAAAAAATAAACAGTAAGAAATCACTAGTTAATAGATTACATATTGTCATCTTAGAAATAGTTGTTCAAGTTACAAAATTAAAACATATAAAGTGGACATTCAAACAGTGAGACTGCAAACAGTTCTGCTCAATAATCCAACAAAACTCAGTAATATGGTTATCTATCTTATACACTTAAATATACATGCAGTTATATGCTTTAGAGTACTTTCTTTTCCTCTCTTTTGTACAATGACAATTACACATTTTGGGTTTTATTACTCCTACAGTTCTTATTACTTTTTTTTTAAGAGAATAAAGCCAAATGTGATATAACAAAACACAGTCAGTCAAATCAAAAGAATAGACATAATACTTAATGTAAAAGCAAAATACAAGGTGATCAACAATGGTTACCATAATGCCTCTTGCTATCTTAAAAAGAATTGCCTATATCATCAGTTATAATAAAATTGAACAAAACAGTAAAGAACAAAACCAATAAAACCAAAACATTGGAGACATTACAGGACTTCAAAAGAAGATAATACTCAAACCAGAATGGACGTCATAATGAATCTTATTGTCTTCACAGTTGTTGCCTATACTCTCAAACTTGGTACTATCAAACCAAACAGAATAGAGGAAAATCAGTCAAAATAAGATGGTGAGAGCAATACAGGGTTTCAAATCAAGTTAATAGGAAATCAAAGTGAGTTACTATAATATGTCCTGCTATTTTTAATTTTTCCCTTAATTAAAAAGATAAAAATTAAAAAGTAAATAATAAAAAAGGCGGGGACTGAAATAAAAAAGGACATAACAACAAAAACAGCACAGGTCAAAACATAACAATTTAAGCAAAATAGTGTTTCACCACAAGATATCCCGACATAAAAGTAGTTACCATCGTGTCTCTTTCCTTGAAATCTTTGAGTATAACTTCGTATACCATAGCATCAAACATGTCAAGACAATGTAAAACCATTCAAGAGAATGACAATATTACAGGATATTTAGAATCAACTAACAGAAAATCAACAATGGTTTCTGTATAATCTCCTTGTCTATAAAAGTTTTTATTTATATTATCACATATAATAAAATCCAATAAGATACA